TAGAGTCTTGGAACTGCTGAGTTGTTTCTGCATTAGCCTACGGAAAGGTAAGATGATCTTCAGCCTGATTCTCCAAGTGAGTTCAGGCATTATCCCAGCTACAAGCCTAGGCAGGTACTTCCGGCTTCATGGGAAGAGGGCAGGTTTCCTGAGCACGGATTTAGCAGTGCCTCTAGTGGTGACAGAGGGACAACAAAAAAACCCAACTCATCCTACAGCAGAAAGCCAAGGAGGCGAGGGTAATTTGAAGCTAAGAAGGGGTCATTTTAAAAAGAAAACACTTGGGCTTCCCTGGTGGCGCAGTGGTTGAGAGTCCGCCTGCCGATGCAGTGGACACGGATTCGTGCCCCGGTCCGGGAAGATCCCACATGCCGCGGAGCGGCTGGGCCCGAGAGCCATGGCCGCTGAGCCTGTGCGTCGCAACGGGAGAGGCCACAGCAGTGAGAGGCCCATGTACCGCAAAAAAAAAAAAGAAAAAAGAAAACACTTGAACGCAAATCTGTCGAGATAGAAAGTTGACTAGTGGTTGCCAGGGGATTAACTATAAGTGACCATGAGAGATCTTTTCGGGGAGATATTCCAAAACTGAATTGTGAATTATACAATTCAGCAAATTTATTAAAACTCATTGAATTGCATGTCTAAAACAGGCAAATTTTATGGTAGGTAAAGTATATCCTATGGCCCAGGGCTTCTTGGTCACTTACAGTGCTATCTTAGCTATTTTTTTTTTCATTCCACAAATATTTATTGAGTGCCTTCTATGTGTCACAGACCATGCTGGGACTGTGAAAGTAGCAATAAATAAGATTTTAAAAGTTCCTGGTCTCTTGGAGCTTACATTCTAATGGGAGGAGTGAGATAGTAATAAAGATAACTACAGATCGCTATAAGACAGTAATTCTTAACCCACATGGTAGGACCACCTGGAGGGCATCCAAACATCCCAATGTCCAGGCCACACCCTATCAGACTCTCTTGGGTAGGATCTTAATAGCAAGACAGGCAGCCAAAGGAGAATTCTCAAAGCCTCCTTTCAGACTGAGAAGGTGGTGTTGCACGGTGGTCTGCGTTAATCGGTGAGGGAAGGGCTAGGGAAGACCCTCCTTCTTGTGCCCTGGTGTCTGTTACCTCAACTCACCTCCGTGGGACAGATTCCACTGGGGAGGGGGAGTCCTCCTTGGTGGGCCTGAAATTCTGGTGGGAAAAAATAAAAAACACATGCAGGCAGGAATATCGTCATCCTGGCCTAGATTCTGAGGTCTGATTAGATCACCGTTTTGGGACTTGACCTTCCCCAGATAATAATCTGTTCCCCCTCAGTCAGAAAAAAAGAATTAGAGACCCTGCTTCTGACACCTCCATGTGACCAAGCATTCCCCAGAGGTCTAAATGGAAACAGGCCTCGCCTTATCCATAGGTTCCACTGTTCTGGGTGGACCTCCCAAAGAGGCTCCAAAAGTGGACCTGTTTATTCGTAAGTAACTATTTGTAACAACTCTGCTTGAGCCAGCATCTTCTCAATCCTTATGCCAAGAGGAAGCAGACAGGAAGCTGGAAACTGGATTGATTTTTTAATTGTAATTTTATTGGAGTATAATTGATTTACAATGTTGTGTTAGTTTCAGGTGTACAGCAAAGTGGTCCAGTTATACATATACATACAATTGTTCTTTTTTAGATTCTTTTCTCATATATGTTATCCCAGAATATTGAGTAGAGCTCCCTGTGCTGTACAGTAGGTCCTTGGTGGTTATCTATCTATAGATAGATATATAGATACAGATATCGATATCTATATCTATATATACCTATATATAGATATATATCTATAGATATATAGATAGATCTATCTATATAGTAGTGTGTGTATGTTCATCCCAAGCTCCTGATTTATCCCTCTCCCTCTTGCTCCTGCTTTGGTAAACATAAGTTTGTTTTCAATATCTGTAAGTCTGGGAAACTGGATGTTAGAAACAGGTTGGTGCACAGCAGGTGAATCCTGACCACAAGTCCTCTGGGCTGACTCCATGGGGGTCCGTGTGGAGGCTGTGTGTCATCTGATTCCTCACGGGGCCAACCAGCTGCCTTTCGCACTTTTCTGTGTGTGGGATTCACCTGGGGAGCTTGTTGAATTGCAGATTGTGACTCAGTTGATCTGGGACAAGGCCTGAAATGCTTCATTTCTAACCTGCTCCCAGGTTATACCACTGCTGCTGGCCCCCTGGCCACACTTGGAGTAGCACCTCGTGCTGAGGAGTCCCACACACTGAGTTGCAACTTTGTTCCTCTTGGACCAGCAGCATTGGCCTCCCCTGGGAAGTTGTTAGAGGTGCAGATCTTTAGGTTCCACCCCAAGTCTACCGAATCTCTGCATTTTAATAAGATCTCCCCGGAGGGTTATATGCACATTCATATTGGAGAAGCACTGACCTAGAAGACCTGTCCAGGAGGCTGGTCTGCCCAGAGCCAACGGCTTTGTAATGGGAACTATGATTTTAAGGCACACAGCTGCTCATATAAAGTCTGGATATAATGCAATGTTAGAAAGGAGCACCATTCTCGTAACCAAGGGGGCTATCTCCATAGGGAATCTTAGCCCAGGAGTAGGGGGATGGCTGGTGGGGCTTTGCAGAGCCACCTTGCAGTGAGCGGCAAGATCCACCAGAGGGAGCCAGAGCCTAGGACGTGACTGAAGGGACAGACAGGGCAAGGGGGGAGGAGAAGCCCGGACTTCTTGTGTACGACTTGCACACACACGCAACACACACATGTACACATACTCCTTGATAGCCATTATAATAATAAATTGGAAAATGTACTTAAAGAAAAAGAGGTAGAAAGTGAACATTAAAGTTAATAAGATGAGGGTAGGAAGTTAAGAAAGTTCAAAAGAAAAACGTTTTTAGAGAATAATATAAGAGAACTCATAAATATATATGCAATATAATATAGTAGAGTATCATTCCTACCTAGGATAGGAAATGATTTCTTAAACAAGTCATGAAAAGCACTAACCATCAAGGAAAAGACTCATAAATTGGAGTGTAGCTGGCATAAAAGTAAGAAAGGAGAGAGGCCAGTCTAGAATAGGAGCAGATATTTGCAACATAGGTTACTGGCAAAGGGCTTATATCAAGAATATGTAAAGAAGTTGTACATATCAATAAGAAAAAAAATATTAGAAAAAATAGACGAAAGACTTGTTGAATAGACATTTCACTAAGGGTAATCTCAACGGGCAATAGAAAAAGTGTTCAACCTCATTTGTAATCAGAAAGCGCAAATTAAAGCCACAGTGAGATATCGCAAGACACCCATTAGTGTTGGCAAGAGGGAATTCTCATACTTTACTGGTGGAATGGTGAATTGTAGGGACACTTTGGAATAGAGCTGAGAATTCTCTAGGAAATCAAAGCTACACGTATCCTAGGGCTCAGCAATTCCACTCTTAGGTATGCACCTGACAGAATAAGTGCAAGGAAACATGACAAGAATGTGCCCCAAATTTTAAAAAAAACAGCCTAAATGTAAACAACAGAAGACTGATTAATAAATGAGTCTTCTCTTTGAAGAGAAGGTGGCTTCTCTTTGTTGCAGAGCACAGGCTGTAGTTGCTCGGGCTTCAGTAGTTATGGCACGTGGGCTCAGTAGTTTTGGCTCACGGGCTCTAGAGTGCAGGCTCAGTAGTTGTGGTGCACAGGCCTAGTTGCTCCACAGCGTGTGGGATTTTCCCAGACCAGGGCTCGAACCCGTGTCCCCTGCATTGGCAGGCGGATTCTTAACCACTGTACCACCAGGGAAATCCTATTCTGTGAAGGTGTTTTTGGACGAGATTAACATTTAAATCAGCATACTTTGAGTAAAGCAGATTGGCCATTGCTCCATAATGATGGTGGGCCTCATCCAATCAGGCCTGAAGAGAACAAAGACTTATGTCCCCTGAACAAGAGGAAATTCTGCCAGTGGACTTGAATTTCCACATGGGCTCTCCCTGGGTCTCCAGCCTGCTGGACCACCCTGCAGATTTTGGATATTCCAGCCCACACTCACGTATGTTAATTCCTTAAAATAAATTTCTCTCTGTCTCCAGATCCCACCCCAAACCTATCATTGCCATGGTGACATCACTTCTGGGCAGAGTGGCAGGGTGCCCTTTCTCACTCTCCTTTTCCCTGATGCCTGGAGGAGCTGAGTCCTGACAGTGCCACCCTTTTCTACCTGGACCTGCTGGGACAAGGCCATAGCTTCTCCATCTCAGTACCTGGAGGTAACCAGGCTGCTGGTACATGGCCAGCCCTAGAATATCCCCCATCAGCCCACAGTCCACTGCTGATGTCTCTGTGAATTTCCTTCTAGTCTTTTTTCCTCCTGCATATTTGTATATTGACAGCATCCGGATCATACTCTATATATAAAGTTTTGTATTCTGTCTTTTTAAAATATCACATTACATCATGAGCATATTATTGGAAATTTGACAAAGACTTGATTTTTTGATAGGCCCAAAATATTCTATCATGTATCATTCATTGGTTGTTCCACAAATATTTGTTGAGTGCTTGCAATGTGCCAGGTGTTGTGTGGCTTGTGCAAGCAGTTGACTGTAGGACAAATGCGTGAGTCAATGAATACAGGGCAGGAGGCTCAGAGGCACTTGTTGCTATTTCCAGGTTCACAGCTGTTCCAGGTAACTGAACTTGCCCAGGTAAGAGGAGCACCAATGTATTTTGGGTGGCTGGCATCGGTACGAGCACTGGACCGAGCTCTAAATATCCCCATTTGGGGATGTTTCCTGGTAGAAGCAAAGGAAAGCTTTAGGACCAGTACTTGTCAGAGACAACTTCTTCCATAAGCTGCTTCTTTACTTTTTAAACTTATGTTTTCAATAGGTAATATGCTTACATTGTTCTAATATTCAAGACGAAATAATAATGTACACAGTGAAAAGGCTCATTCCCACCTCTTCCTCATCTGCCAGGTACCCACCTCTGGTAACCATTTTAATCATTTTTTTGGTATGTATTATTCTAGAGTTTCTTTATGCAAATACAAGTTTCCTTTCCAACACAAAAAAGTCATCTACAATTTATATACTTTTGCACCTTGCTTTTTGCACGAACAATATTTCTCAGCGATATTTCCAAATAACTAAAGATCTTTTTATTACTTCTATAGTCCTATTACTCCTATATAGTATTCCATTATATGGTCAACCATAACTCTCTAGCCAGTCACCTGTTAATGGACATTTGAGTTTCCCATTAGGTTTGTCGTCTCACACAAGGCTGCACTGACAAACTTGTGTATATTTTATTTTATACATGTAATTGCTGGGTCAAAGGGTAAACACACTTGTAACTTTTGGTATATATTGCCTAATTACTTTCTACAGGATTGTGCCAATATACATTCCCAGCAGCAACACTCTTGACCCCACTTTTGGGCAGGAACCCAAGATGATTGCTTATTAGGTCAACAGGCTGAACATCTGCTCTATACTAGATCCCATGATAAACAGCCCCAGTGCAAAGAACAAGATGCTATTGGCACCTGCTTTTGAGCAGAGGGAGAGACAGACATATTTATTGGACAAGCAAGTCAATACGTGACAAAGCACTATAGCATGATACAGGAAGTGCTGTGAGAATGTGGGCCAAGGGATAATTTATTCTGCAAGGAAATCTTCAGAGGAAGCAATAGTTAAGCTGGGCCCTGAAAGATAAGCAAGTTGTCTAGGGGGAGAGAGGTATTTGAGACAGCGGGGAGCATGTCTAGAAGCTGATTCCAAGAACCATAGATAGAGTTCATGGATGGAGCATGAGGAACTAAGATTGGAGCTAAGCTTGGAGAGGCAAGCCAACACCAGGGAGAGACTTCAGCTGATGAGCCTTCATCCTGAAAGAACTGAGCAGTCTTTATGGGCACATAAGTGGCAGTGACGTGGTCAGATCATCTCCCAGCCACACTCTCTGCCCACTCTATTCCTCTAGACTCCAACGCGCCAGGAGCATGGTAGTGTGCATCCATTTCACCCCAAGGGGTCATTTGTTGCCTAAACTCAGACCTCACAATAGCTCCGCGTAGGCCAGTTATGATGCAAGAAGTTTGTGACTGTCCCTTGGGTTCCCATTAAAACTGTCTTACAAAGAAACTCCAGGCACTGACACCTCCCATCTTAGCCTATTGCCAGAGTATGATCAGAGAATGGGAGAATGGCTGTCAGAAGACTGGAAAACAGAGGGCTAGAGATTCAAGGGCCCAAGAAAGGATGACTACAGAGGGGAAGTCAAATAAGCATGGAACACCAGTCCAGGTATTCAATATAAGCGATTCCTTTCAGGATAAAGACTCCCTGTGCTGCCAGGGGGATCCATGTTCTGCTTCACCGTTGGGGTGAGTATGACCTGTGCTTCTGGTCTATTCCTTCCCACCCATGTCAGAACCAGGCCAAGTGGAGGAGCCCACTCTAAGGCTGTAGAAACCCTGGTCACAGTGACCCTACCCTGACTAACGTAGAATCACCCTTTGGAGATTTCCCATTCCAAAGGGGAAACTAGGAGGACCCTTTCCGAGTTCTAATACACCTCTCTGCCTTCCAGGATATGGACCAAATTCTGCAAATCAGACCCACGCGTTGCCCTCGGAAAATACTCCCCCTTGGAAAAAGAGATCCTAGTAAGTGCTGTGAAATTTATACACAGGGAAGCCCCATGGAAGCCAGGCAGTTAGGCTAGGGGAGCCAGAGGTTCAGAAACCACCAGCAATAGAGAGGTAAGTCTCCCAAACAGCAGACTGGAGTTGGCCACTACTTGGCCGTTGTGAGCTAGTGGCCTCCACACCTGCATAGCGAAAGCAAAATACTCTCTAATTTCGAAGTCCCAAGTAGGAATATAACTACAAGTGATAACAAGTCACGGAAGCTGCCTTTTCTCAAGCCCTTATCTTGCACTAGTTGCTTTCATGTATATCTTATGGAGACCTCACAGGGGCCTGTAAGATCAATAAAATTCTTTCAAATTCATAGTAGGTAAGAAGGAGAGTCAGGAGTTGAACCCAGGCTCGTCTAACCCCAAAGATCTGTGCTCTTTCTCACTACCCAGGGGCTCGGGCACCCTCAGCGGTGGAGGGTGAAGGTGCCACTAGGTAGTTGTTCCTGTGGGTCCCCCCTACTCCTGTCCCGTTGAGATTTTAACCATCCCTTTCCCGTTGTCAGCGTCTAGGTGGTGTTCACACCATAGCATCCAGGAGGTTTCTGACTTATAAGCAAGAAGAAGAACGGAAAATGCTCAAGGAACTACAGGTGCTGTCTTCAGACTATAAAAGGGCGGTGGAATATAGGAAGCAACTCACCCCTCCTTGTGCCACCTGTGGACCCCTAGAAAAAATATGGACGGCGAAGGTGATGGTGCCCCCAGAGGAGTTCAAAATGCCGCAGCGGGAGAGGCTGAACGTCAGCAAGCACATAGAACGAATGCAGCTCGCTCGAGCCCTGAGGAATAAGCAGCCTTTACCCTACATTGAAAGATTTAGGAGCTCTTTGCTTCTGTCTGGAGGGGGCCTGGGCCTCCCGGGAAGGGACAAAACTGGGGAAGGCAAGGATGACCGAGACGCCGATCCCTGCGACTATGCCCATCAAGAGAAGAGAGATGAGGCAGAGAGCAAAACCACGAAAAGACAGGAAATAAAAATGAACGTAATTTTCAAGTCAGAAGAACCAAAAAAATGTGTGACGTACCATCCAAATGATCTCAAACCATTCCTCCCTCCAAAAAAAGCAGAAAGATCCATTGCTGGCTTAACGAACAGAAATCTTTTGCACCTGGCCGAATTCCCTGGAGACCTAATGCTGCTGAGTCAGGATTTTATATCACGGGGAATCCACCCCAGTGACGTGTCAAAGGCCAGCTGTCTGGAAGAAGGCAGCGCCTGGAAAGAGTACATGCACACAGCTGCTTCCCACCATTATTAAAGGTTTATTTATTCCCCATGGAAACCGAGTGCCCTGGTCCTTATTACTCCTGCAGCTCTGCCCCAGGTGGCTTCCCTCTTTCTCTTTTTTTCTTTCTTTTCTTTTCTTAGCTTTAAAAAAATTTTATTTAAAAAGTTTTAAATTTTATTTATTTATTTTTAATGTTTTTAAAATTTATTTATTTTATTTACTTATTTTTGGCTGGGTTGGGTCTTCGTTGCTGTGCACAGGCTTTCTGCATTTGCAGCGAGTGGGGGCTACTCTTCTTTGAGGTGCGCAGGCTTCTCATTGCAGTGGCTTCTCTTGTTGCTGAGCACGGGCTCTAGGCGCTTGGGCTTCTGTAGTTGTGGCACGTGGGCTCAGTAATTGTGCCTTGTGGGCTCTAGAGTGCAGGCTCAGTAGTTGTGGTGCACGGGCTTAGTTGTTCCACGGCATGTGGAATCTTCCCGGACCAGGGCTCGAACCCATGTCCCCTGCACTGGCAGGCGGATTCTTAACCACTGCGCCACCAGGGAAGCCCCCAGATTTTTATTTTATGTTGGAGTAGAGTTGATTAACAATGTGTTAGTTTCAGGTGTACAGCAGAGTGATTCAGTTATACGTATACATGTATCTATTCTTTTTCAAATTCTTTTCCCATTTAGGTTATTACAGAGTATTGAGCAGAGTTCCCTGTGCTATACAGTAGGTCCTTGTTGGTTATCTATTTTAAATATAGCAGTGTGTACATGTCAATCTCAAACTCCTTAACTATCCATCCCCCCCACCCTTCCCCCCGGTAACCATAAGTTCTTTCTCTCAGTCCGTGAGTCTATTTCTGTTTGGTGGCTTCCCTCCTTTTCTCCTTACAGGACCCGATCTCCAGGGCGTCCTCAAGGTAAGACCTAGCTGCTGAGGCTTCCTGGTGTCAGGCAGCTGTTGGCTGTCAGCTGCTCCCCCGACCGCAAGCAGCCCAGGCCTTCGCAGGATGCAGACTCCTCTTTTTCATCTACTCCCACGGGACCTGCATCAGTTACCTGCTTCGGTTAAGCAAGTCACCCCAAAATTTAACAGCTTACACCAACTTTCATTAATTTAGGTTATAATTCTAATTGTGGGTCAGCAATTTGGGCTGGTCTCAGCTGAGTTCCTCCTGTGTCTGCAGTCAACGGCGGGTCATTTGGGTGGTTCTCTTTCTCGGGGGAGAGCTATCAGCTGGGTCAGTGGGAGTGATGGGTTACATCTTTCCTCTTCCAGCAGCTGTAGCAGGCCAGCCCCAGGCTTGTTCACGGGGCTGCTGCAGGAGCCGAGAGAGCAAGCAAAAGTCTGCAAGGACTCTTGAAGCCAAGACCAGAACCGGCACACCACCACTTTGCCACACTCTGTTGGCCAAAGCAAGATACACAGCCAGGTCCAGATGCAAGGGTGTGTAAATGGACTTCACCTCTTGTTGGGGGGAGGTGGAAAGTCGTACTGCAAAAGCTCAGGGAGGCTGGTACAGACAGGACTGTGGCTGCAGTCAGTCTGCCCCAGAGCCCCTGGGGCTGGAGCTGGGACCAGCCTGTAGCCCAGATCGGGGGAAAGAACCCTGCTCAGGAAAGAGGCTGCCCACGCCTAAAGGCTAGAGGTCTGTTCCATGCTCCCCACTTCTTGCCTAGACATGCAGCTTCTACCTTGGAAGGCAGAGCCAGCCTGTTCCCGGCCTGATCTCTGCCGCCTTCCTCTTCTGCACAGCCACGTGACTTACACCCTCCCCATCAAGTCAAGTGCAGGCACGGGACACGCAAGGCTGTAGCAGGCACAATTCCTTTGGATGTGTCAGGAGGATAATCCAAGGTCCCTGCGGTCAGTTATTGCTACTCCCATGAAGGCCCTGCCTCGGCCCCAAGGTGGCAGATCTGGGAGATATTTCAGTGTTTGAGAAGATGACACATTCGTTTCTTGTCTGCATCTGAAACCCAGAAGGATCCCCCGGTTAATCACACGCTGTCCTCGGCAACTCTGCGCACAGTTGGAAAGACACTGAGCTTGCCCACAGGTACAGCTTCCGGGGACAAGGCCAGCATTCTTTCTAGATCGTTCCTCTCCGTGGATTTTTCGCAATTGGCTCTTTCAGAACCACAGCTTTCCTCCAAGCAGAGGGGGAGTCATGGGCGGGAGGCTGACCCTCTCCCATTTTCCAGGAGAAGTCCATTGGCCATAGCCACAGGTTAAGAGAAAGTATTGTATCGGTAGCAGCTATTGACAAGAGAGCGATTTAGGGAGAGGTAGCATAATTCCAAAGTCATCAGTGGAAGAATCAGTATAAACCAAAGGGATGCTCGAACTTTTCAACTGGGGCAAAGTTGGAAATTAGGGAAAAGGAAAATATTATTTCCAATATTGATATAACTTCTCCAATGGCTATAAAATTGTGAATATCAAAGCAACACATGAAAACTCAAACCGGTTTGAAAACATTTTAAAGCTATTTAGCTGGATCCTAAACATTGCTCAAGATCAGCTCTGCAATGTGGTAGAAAGTTCTTTGCACGAGAAGCGAGACCAGTGCTCTTCTTAGAGATCTACCACCAACCAGCTGGGAAGTGTGGGTAAACCACAAGGCTCTCTGTGACTCAGCTTCCTCAGCAGTTAAATGAGCTCATCAACTAGAGCATCACCAAGGTCCAGTGCTGGGATTCATTTAACTAGCTGTTTGCAGTGGAGTTTGCATTGCTCACCATCTGCTTAGTGTCACAACCTAAGAACTGTGTTACAGCACCAGGTGGTGCTGGTCTGGAGACATTTTCACTGAGTCCAGTAGTCACCTCTGAGAATAGATCAGGGAAGGTGTTAACAACCTTGTTGATAGTGTCATTTTAATTACAACAAACATTAATTACTTGGAGCCATCCAGAAATAACCCACAGTTAACCATACAGGTTTGTGTATCTGTGTGCTATCTTCTAGGAAGTATATATGAAAATAAACTTAGATTTATTTATTATTAAAGGTTTCTGAAAAATCTCTGAATGAAGTATGGATTCCTTCTAACTGCTTATCTGGAGTTATATAAACACTTTTTATCTTGATAAAAAGATAAGTGACCTAAAGAGCCCTGCAAGAGCCTTAGGCTATGGTGAAATTTAACTAAAAATTTATTTTTTATTTTTTTAATTAAAAATATTTTTATTGAAGTATAGTTGATTTACAGTGTTTCAGGTATACAGCAAAGTGAGTCAGTTATATATTTACATATATGTATATATATGTATATATATTTATACTCTTTTTCAGATTATTTTCCATTATACGTTATTACAAGATATTGAATATAGTTCCCTGTGCTATACAGTGGGTCCTTGTTTATCTATTTTATATATAGTAGTATGTATATGTTAAACTCAAGTTCCCAATTTATCTCTCCCCGCCGCTTCCCCTTTGGTGACCATAAGTTTATTTTCTATGTCTGGGAGTCTGTTTCTGTTTTGTAATAAGTACATTTGTATCATTTTTTATTTAGATTCCACATGTAAGTGATATCATGCGATATTTGTCTTTGTCTGACTCACTTCACTTAGTATGATAATTTCTAGGTCCATTCATGTTGCTGCAATGGTAATATTTCATTCTTCTTTTTAGCTCAGTAGTATTCCATTATATATTTGTACCACATCTTCTTTATCCATTTCTCCATCGATGGACACCTAGGTTGCTTCCATATCTTGTTTATTATAAATAGCGCTGCTATGAACATTGGGGTGCATGTATCTTTTTGAGTTAGAGTTTTCATCTTTTCCAGATATACGCCCAGGAGAGAGATTGCTGGATCACATGGTAAGTCTATTTTTACTTTTTAAAGAACTATGGTGGAACTTAGAAAGCCTTTGGGCATCAGCCCAAAGAGAGTTCTGGTAAGGAGTAATTTAATCTGAAATTTGTAACAATTCTTTATTCCTTGAGAACTCTGGGACAAGTGATAGATTAAATTTTTCCCAAAAGTCCAGTATTGGTTATTCAATATACAGAGGCAAAAAGAGATAGATGATAGATAGATAGATAGATAGATAGATAGATAGATAGATAGATAGATGATAGGTAGATATTTCAGAGGAAAAAAGAATCTGATAGTTGATTTTCACATAAGCTTAGTGTCGTCATTACTGGAAAAAGTCAGAACTTCTTTGGACTTCCTTAAACTTACAGTTTAGTATCAGTTTTATTTTGAATTACTTATGGAAACAGACCTCATTGTCTTTTCCATTCTTAGAACCAGTACAGATTTTAATCTGTTCTTGCCCGAGACCCACAGGAGCCCTGTGGTGTCAGAGAGGGCTCATTTACAAGGATGGTGTCTGAAGAAGGTGACCAAATGAGCTGGAAGATTCTGGGGTGAAACATCTGGCTAGCACTTTGGACATGGCCAGACCTTCAGCTCCATTTCCTGAAGAGACACTGGGTGCTTCCTGCTATAGTTCACCCCTAGACTGTGTCTGTTGCCCCTCTTTGGGATCCCATAGCAATCTGACTTTGCTCCACCTTCCCTGTTTCCTATTTCCTCATGTATAACCCGCTGGCTGATGAGCCATTTGTGTGACCCCAGTGCCTAGGTTCAACTTAATCATTCTGGCAGCCCTAGTGCCTAGCACACCTTCTGTACTCCATAAATCATTACATCACTGTAATGAGGTGACATTTACATTCCTTAAGAGCTGGTACCAGGATGTATCTTAGGGTAAATTGTCTTTCTTGGGGAAAAATAACCTTACCATCCATTTTGAGCTGCAACGGGGTACTTGAGGAGCCCCCCAAACAAAACAAAAGAATGGGTAAGCCTTCTTCATAGGGAAGTGAGAGGAATTCTCAATTTCCTCTTGAAAAAGGGAGAAAGAAGGGAGAGAGAGGAGGGAGGAGCCAGTGAGATGAGTAAGGCAGGGTGCATGGGTAGAGGGACCACATAAAACCCCCAGGTGGCAATGAAAAGGAAGACTTGGACTCCACCCTCAACAAGCTTGTAAACTGGTTAAAGAATGAGACAAATATTCAAAAATGTTAATACCATGGAG